GTATAACGAGACTAAAAGTATATGCCCCCGTCATTAACGGCACGCTATCGCAGAAGCTCCATTAAATATATTGGGGTAAAATAAATGCTCATATTATAAAGGATGGGTGGGGGTAATTTAATGCAGTGCTTCTTGTACAATCTGAGACCCACTTTATATCAGATATCACTCAGCTAGTGGAGATCGCTGATTTTTAAAGAAAACAGACCTTAAACGTGCTTGCTTTTGCATTGGCATACAGTTCACCGGAAGCGCTTCCAATCAGACTCACCTGGGCTAGCTAATCAAGATCTTATTTGGCATTCTAGAAACATCCTTGCAGGTGTGTTGAAGCAAGTTAGAGCTATGATCTGCAGGACACCCGACCTCCAGAACCTCCAATGCAAAACAAACTATATCCTAATAAATCTATAGTTGCAAAAAACGCTTCAATATTTTGTGAACTATTTTTAGTCATAGACATAATATTTACATCTTGTTGAGAATTTTTTTTTAGATACACTAAAATGAAACAAATTACCGTATTTTAAGCTAGAACTTAGGTCATTCTAGCTTAAAATATTGTCATTTTTTATTCATTTGCCTGTATGATTGCATATCCATCCATTTCAGAATCAGTAAACACCTGGGCCATAACATGAAGTCAGATTAGCTTTTGGGTTTTAGGTACCTTGAACATCACTTAGCTTATCTTCTACATCTTATAACATGGTAACAAAAAGTAATTCAAGTCAAGCTGCCTTCATATTACCTAAAACCCAAGATTGATGCAAACTAAACTGTAACTTAACCGGCTAGCCAGCAAATCCAGCGTCAAGGTACCGGCTCCAGGTCAAAGATTCACTGTTGTGTTGTAACATACTGCATTCTTTGGGTGGGAAATGTGATACAGGGGGGGGGCTGAATGGTAGATTTAAAAGCAGAGTCACCATCAGCTGTTGTCCCATAACTAACATCCCACCGTTACATTCCTGACCCCTCTCCTGTGTGTGACATCCTGCTTTCACCAAATACTTACCCAATAGTGCTGATAGTTCACATATTTTAAAGTCCACATGAAATCAAAACTAACAATATTGATTTTGTTAGCTCACATTGCTAGTTTTGTGGTGAACAAGTGTCCTCTTTTAAAATTGAAAGCTAATTTAACTACTGTTATTTTACAGTAAATGTCTGTAATGGCCATAATTTTACGGGAAATTTCTGTAATTTAACTGGTGTTATTTTATGGTAAATGTCTGTAATTTAACTTGTGTTATTTTACGGTAAATGTCTGTCATTTAAATGCAGTTATATTGCAGTAAATGTCTGTTATTTAACTGCTGTCATATTACGGTAAATGTCTCATTTAACAACCGTTATTTTTTTGGTGAATGTCTGTAATTTAATGACTGTTATTTTACGGTAAATGTCTGTCATTTAATGGCCGTTAATTTATGGTAAATATCTGTAATTTAATGACCATTATTTTACGGTAAATGTCTGTAATTTAAAGACCATTATTTTACGGTAAATGTCTGTAATTTAAAGACCATTATTTTACGGTAAATGTCTGTAATTTAATGACCATTATTTTGTGGTAAATGTCTGTAATTTAATGACCGTTATTTTATGGTCAATGTCTGTAATTTTTTATTTAACGAGAATTGGAGAACGGCAGACTTAATCTTTTATCAGTTGAGTTTGTCACCATTCAGACACATCGCCTATCCGTGCTGCTGTGTTTGCACATGTTTAAAATCTTCCAGATAACCGGCAGGGCTAATGGTTGAAATAGACATGGCAAGAAACCTGCTGCACTGCTATCGACTGTGTCTGCATTCAGACTAGGGGATTCAGGAGAAGAGAAGTCCTCCTTATTTATAGTGTTTATATAAATTGAACATATTGCTTATCTTTATAATGATATAACAAATTGTGGTTACATATTATAAGAAATGACAAATAACATATATGTAGCAGAAAATTAAAGCATTTACTGTTTATTTCTTTGGATTTTAACTTTGCGTCAACCTCTTTCTCCACGCCCAATTCTCCCTCTGCTCACAATGCTCCACTTCCATCATGGAGCATTCCATGAAAAAAATTCTGAGGTAGACTTGAACTGAAAACAGGGGTTTTATGACCCTTTAGAGTCTGTTTCTCTAGAAACTGCCTCACAATACAAAGCGTCCGGTTCATGTGGACTTTAAAGAAGAAGAAGAAGAAAAAGAAAAAAAGGACAGGTTGAAACGCTGGTGCTTTTAATCAGAGTTTAGACAATAACAAACAGCACTGAGATTCTCAGTGGCAAAGCACTTCAACACACCAGCATCAGCATATCAAACACTAACCATCCCCCGAAAATACATTTCACAGAAATTAAGACCTGTCAGTAATCTTTAACAGGGATTGTCCCTTAAACAGCAGCAACTCACAGATCTTCTGGATGCATAAAGGGATAGTTGACCCAAAAAACTGAAATATTCGATTATTCAAAACTATGATTTGTCCACCTTTTTTTTTTTTTTTTTTGGAACATTTCTACTCGTTTTTCCCCATTAAAATGATTTCAAATACATCTTTTTGAGTAAACTATCCCCTTAAAATAATCATCGGCAGCACAAAGTAACATCTTGTTTTGTTTTCTCACTAAATATACATTTCAAAACTGTACATACTCCTTTAAACGATGCACATTAAAACAAAAAACATGATTCAAATATACAATTTTAGTCTGTTATTGCTTTAAACAGTTCATTTGCACAATATGCGACAACATTCAGCATGAGGAAAGTTCAAAACCTCTGAGATAGCAGAACAAGAGATGAAAAATGGTTGAATTGAACACCCCTTACACCCCAATATACATAGAAAACCAGCAGCATGTTGAACCCAGACCGCTTCCAGGATCATCTTTTTGCTTGCATTATGAGATCAAGTAAAAACGCATTGATTGCTTCCAGTTTATATGATGTCAGGCTACTTTAAATAATGTACATGCTGGCAAAATAGCACATTGTTCACTTTCATATGCTTCTAAAACTGCGTAATTGTAAAAATTGGTTGAAATTTTTCACCTAAAAATGAAAACGTGTTCATATTCTCACCCTCATATGAGATTTTAGAGCAGAGATGTCCAAACTCGCTCCAACCCTAATTAAACACACCTGATCCAGCTAATCAAGCTCTTACTAGGTATACTAGAAACTTCCTGGCAGGTGTGTTGAAGCAAGCTGGAGCTAAACACAGCAGTACACCGGCACTCCAGAACAGAGTTTGGACACCCTTCCATTAGAAAATATTTTTCCATACAGAACATTAAACATAATAATAAAAGAAGATTATAAGCTGAAACTGTGGTAATTGGTGATTTGTAATAGAAGCTTTCAGAGTAAAACAAAAATCAGCATGTAAACAATGAATACCAGCAGCTCTAGACCATATTTTGTTCTTAAGAAGCAAAAACAATTGATTATTTGCACTCTAGACTGTTGAATGTACTTAATATTCAGTATTTTGCTTTGACCAATCATTTCAGTTGATTAGACTTCAATGTATCACCCTGGTTATTAATTTTGCTTGACCTGTTGTTGTTTTTATTAATTGACAGAGCCAGTAGCCATTGGCTTTTAATGAATCACCAAGAACCACAGTTTCAATCAAATATTTTCAATAATATTTTACTCGTCACCGACATCTTAATTGGCCTGGGTATAAATAATTAACAGCAATTTTGATTGTTAAAGGGATAGTACACCTTCTAAAAAATGAACAAGTACTCTTTATTTATTACTCTCCCTCAAGTGTTTCCAAATGTCTGAGTTTTTTTGTTCAGTTGAAGCTGAAAACCTGTAACCATAGACTTTCATAATATTTGTTTTTCTACTACTAAGTCAATGGTTACAGGTTTCCAACATTCTTCAAAATATCTTCTTTTGTGTTCAATGAGTCCTAAAACGGTTAAAAAAAAAGATTGAAGAATAGCCTGTAACCATTGACTTCTGTAGTAGAAAAACAAATACTATGGAAGTCAATGGTAACAGGATTCCAACATTCTTCAAACTATCTTCTTTTGTGTTCAATAATTCTCGAACCAGTTTAGAACGAGTGAAAAATAACCTGAAACCATTGACTTCTATAGTAGAAAAACAAATATTATGGAAGTCAATGGTTACAGATTTCCAACATTCCTCAATCTTTTGTGGTCACTCGTTTTAAACCTGTTTGAGATTCATTGAAAAATAACCTGTAACTATTGACTTCTATAGTAGAAAAATAAGTACTATGGAAGTCAGTGGTTACAGGTTTCCAACATTCTTCAAAATATCATCTTTTGTGTTCACTTATTCCAAACCTTTTTGAGATTCATTGAAGGATAACCTGTAACTATTGACTTCCATAGTAGAAAAACAAGTACTATGGAAGTCAATGGTTAACAGATTTCCGGCATTCTTCAAACTATCTTCTTTTGTGTTCAATGAATCTCAAACCGTTTTAGAACGAGTGAAGGATAACCTGTAACCATTGACTTCCATAGTAGAAAAACAAGTACTATAGAAGTCAATGCTTACAGGTTTCCAGCATATTTCAAACTATCTTCTTTTGTTTTCAATGATTCTCAAACAGGTTTGGAACGAGTAAAGGATGACCAGTAACCATTGACGTCCATAGTAGAAAAACAAATACAATAGAAGCCAATGGTTACAGGTTTCCAACATTCTACAAAATATCCTCTTTTGTCTTCAATGAATCTCAAACAGGTTTGGAATGAGTGAAAGATAGCCTGTAACCATTGACGTCCATAGTAGAAAAACAAATACTATGGAAGTCAATGGTTACAGGTTTCCAACATTCTTCTTTTGTGTTCAATGAATCTCAAACAGGTTTGGAACAAGTGAAGGATAACCTGTAACTATTGACTAACATAGTAGAAAAGCTAATACTAAGGAAGTCAATGGTTACAGGTTCCAACATTTTTTAAAATATCTTCTTTTGTGTTTAATGAATCTCAAACAGGTTTGGACGAGTGAAGGATTCCCTGTTACCATTGACTTTCATAATATTTGTTTTTCTACCATGGAAGTCAACGGTTAACAGATTTCCAGCATTCTTCAAACTATCTTCTTTTGTGTTCAATGAATCTCAAACCATTTTAGAACGCGAGAAAGATAACCTGTAACCATTGACTTCCATAGTAGAAAAACAAATACTATGGAATTCAATGGTTACAGGTTTCCAACATTCTTCAAAATATCTTCTTTTGTGTTCAATGAATCTCAAACAGGTTTGGAATGAGTGAAGGATCAATAAATGATGGCAGAATGCTCAGTTTTGGGTGAACTATCCCTTTAAGCATATTCAGAGTCTGAAACGATGATGTAAAAGCATTCAAATATATCTCGTATTCACAGTTTGCGTTCGAGTAGAGAACATATGCATCGTGCAAACAAACTGCATATTAATAATAAAATAAACAGCACAATTTAAAAAATATTGATTCATCAAGACAAAAAAAAAAGAAAATCTCATATAAAAACCATTAAATTACAACAAACCAATTTTGGCCTCCACAGTCCTTTCCTGCGAACTTACTAAAAAACATGTCGCTAATACTCAAATAAGTTACGAAGAGGTGATTTTGTTGAGTCAGGTACATTAAAAGGCAGTAAAACTCATCTCAGCTTCCATCAGAGCTGCTGCCTTCAGGCTCAGACCGGCTTCCTTCGGGATCTGGTCTCAATCCGGAGAAAGGCAATCTAACACAATCTCTGGGAGTTGAGTAACACTCCTGATCCTGAGATTTAATCTGGGGTCTCTGATATTCAGGGCCATTCAGGACAACAGCTTTGCGGATTTTAGGGCTATCATAGATGTCCTCTGGGGAATTCCCTCGATCCGGCTTTACTTGAGGTGTTTGGTAGCCCCCGGCCAGCCCTCCAATCACTTTCCTACAGTTCCCGCCTTCGACTGCCCGAAACGATGGGCTTTTGTTTAGCACCACTCCTGGCACACTATAGCTAGCGTCAGGGATGAAGGGGTCTTTGCGGAAGGCGTGGCGCTCGATTATGGGTGTGGCATATTCAGGCTCCTGATTGGTCAGTGGCAAGGCGTACTGGATGCCTGTCTGCAGGTGGTCATAGTGAGAACTTTCCATGTCTTTAGTTTCGGTGTCCATCGGTCTGAACGTTGAGCCTTTTCGGGACACTGTGTCCGTGCCGAGCATCAGTGGTTGTTGGTACTCTGCTGAAGAAAATTGAGAAGGGAAATAACTGGAATTAGAATTGTTGTTCTAAAGAGAACTCTGGGATTAGTGGGAGATTCGTTTTTTTTTAATGTACTATTTAAAATTATATCTGTAATATTTATGTACATTCTTGGGGATAAAATTAATATACAGTTGAAGTCAGAATTAATAGCCCCCCTGAATATTTAGAATTTTTTCAACACATTTGTAAACATAATAGTTTTAACAACTCATTTCTAATAACAGTTTTCTTTGCCATGATGACAGCACACATTACATGTTTTGAAAGTTGCTGCTTTTCTATTATAAACCGTTCAAAGAAGGTACGGTGAGGTACGGTTCCAGTTCTGTTTCCATACTCTTCCCAGTTTCTCCATAGCTGGCTAGGTTGAAGTGCGCTATTTATTCATTCATTTCCTTTTCAGCTTAGTCCCTTTATTAATTAGGGGTCACCACAGCGGAATGAACTGCCAACTAATCCGGCATATGTTTTACGCAGCGGATGCCCTTCCAGCTGCAACCCATCACTGGAAAACACCCATACACTCTCATTCACATACATACACTACAAACAATTTTCATTCATTCATTCATTTATTTTCTTTTCGGCTTAGTCCCTTTATTAATTAGGGGTCACCACAGCGGAATGAACCGTCAACTTATCCAGCATACGTAGCGGATGCCCTTTCAGCTGCAAGCCATCACTGGAAAACTACCATGCACTCTCATTCACACACATACACTACAGACTGAAATGACAACTGACCCAGCCTAGGCTCGAACCAGCGACCCTCTTGCTGTGAGGCAGCAGCACTACGCACTGTGCCACCGCACTATCTATTAATCTTTTGTTATTGAACGAAGCAAATATCTCTGTTTACATTAGATTCAAAAGAGTTCCAATATCATAGCTGAAAAAGAAAGAAAACTTTTTGGTTGGCTAAAGTTTTTGCTTTCTTTTCTGAATGTTGAACATCTCATGACGTGTATATGGAGGATAAGGGAGCTCTCTGATTTCTTCTAAAATATCTTCATTTGTGTTCTGAAGATGAAAAAAGGTCTCAGGGGATTGAAATGACATGAAAACGTGTAATTAATAACAGAAATTTCATTTTTGGGTGAACTAACCCTTTAAGATTGTTTCATGCCAGAAATAAAGTGCTGGTTTAAAATCTGTCTGAAGTCTTGCACAAACCCTGACTCATCAATAATTACAGGTCTGTAGAAGAGTAGGGAGGAAAACTGCCAATTAAAAATCAGCAGGCAGTTTCCATCTGGCAAACATTCAACCATTTGAATGAGATTTTTTTAAGTACTTGGCACATTTTAGGAAGATAAATTAGCCCACAAGTTTATCAGACAATGAACTTATCTCAAGTAAGGGTGTTGTGTCCTGAATTAAATGAAAGCTCTTTCTTTGAGTCTTGAACAAAATGCCCTAACAGGCCATCACGAGCAATAAAACAAAACGATATATCATTCATTCATTTTCCTTCAGCTTAGTCCTTTATTTATCAGGGGTCACCACAGCAGAATGAACTTTAAAGTATTAATACTTGTATATAAATCACTAAATGGCCTAGGACCTCAATACATTACAGATTAGCTCACTGAATACAAATCTAACAGATTAACATAACATAACTAATGTAATGTTAATAGCATAATGCAAATATTGCATTCATGCTAACAAACAAAGGATCAAACAGAAATATTAATGCAGTTCAAATATATAAACTATGAATTGTCCACTTTAAACTAATTATAAATATATATTTATATTGTTCAATTATGATGATTAAAATATTTTTTTTTGTCAAATTATTTTGTGGCTAAAAGTATCGATTTAACACCGGTATCAAATTAACCCCAAATGATACCCAACCCTATTGTAAAGAGTGACCAATGTAACTTAAAGATTCATGAAACCCTACAGTACTTTTTTTTTTTTAGAGATTTTAACAGATTTGTGTGTGTTGAGCATCAGTTAAGACAATGTTAGCACCTATTAGCTTTAATTGTGGGGAAAACTGAATGATTTTGAGCTTTTGTCAGCTAATTTCAGTTTCGGGGTTTAAAATTATTTTTGGGGCGGGATCAAAATCAGCGAGGTAGCCCAGAACAACAAGTACAAAGATGACGCGTCAGTTTCTAATTATTATTCATAGCGGAGTTTTCTTATCCTATGAGAAGAGTCTGCTTCTTAATTATTCATGAGAGCACGTGCTTCCCGAAGGCCAAGTGCCAAGCCCAAGCTGTGACACACGGACCTTCGGCACACAGTATTCAGCTCTCCATGAAGGGTTGTATGTGTTTGTTTCCATGATCCACGGGGTTTGTTGCATGTTTTTCCCTGCAATCCTGTCAGGGCCAATACAGCAAAGCTGTTTGTGTCCAGCAAGCATTTTTGTCGGGAGAGCAATACGAGAACTGGAGAATGGCGGACGTTGTCTTTTATTAGGAGTTTGTTCACATTTAGACACATCGCCGTGCTTCTGTGTTTGCCTAAATTCTTTAGATTACCAACAGGGCTGATGGTTAAAATAGACAGGGCAAGAGACCTGCTGCACTGAGTCTGCATTCAGACCTATGATTCAGACCCGGGGATTGAGGGAAAAGTCCTCATTTATAGTGTTTATATGCACACGATTATCTTTATAATGATATAAATTGTTGTTATCTGTATATGAAATTATGAATAACAAATGTAGCAGGGCATTAAATTACTGTTTTTCTTTGCATTTTAACTTTGTAAACTATAAACTCGTCTCCTCACAGTTTGTGTCTTATTTTGTGAGCTAACAGACAACAGTTGTTCGCTCCCCTCCTTCTCCCCTGCTGGCCACGCCCACTCTTGCCCTTTGCTCGCGGAGCTCCACGCCCATTATCATGCATCGTTTGAAAAAATTCTGAGTTAGACCTGAACCGAAAGTGAGGGGTGTCATGACCCTTTAAAACACAATGATTTTGACAACGCCTGTTGTCAAAATTATTATTTTTAAGTGTACCGTACCTGCCATTGCACTGGTCACCAGGTCCAGCTTCTGTATGGGGTCTTTCTCAGAGCTGTATTTGATGGTGAACTCAGTAGACTGGTGTCTGGTAAACGGCTGTTTTATCTGTCGCCAGCAACCTGTAGACGAGAATCAGACAGAACTGTCAGCTGCTCTGTGAAAGATGGTTTTATCTCTGTGCTCTGAGTCGAGCAGTTAAAGCCTTAAATTATACATGTCTGAAAGGGCACAACACAACATATATTTGAAAGAAGGGATACGTCATGAGGACTGAAATCATCATCAACTTGGAGAGTATTAAATGTAAAAAAAAAAAAACATTTTATCATTTACAAATGGTGTAATTGTTTTACTTCATGGTAACACACACATACCTTGTATTAGTCATATTGTGGGGACCAAATGTGCCCACAAGTATAGCAATACCAGTAAATTTTGACCTTGTGGGGACATTTTTGGTGTCCCCATGAGGAAATAGTATTTTAAAAATGTAAAAATGCACACTGGCTCCTGTGAGGAATGGGTTTAGGGGTCGGGTGATACACAATTTGTACAGTAAAAAAATCATTACGTCAATAGAAAGTGCCCATAACAATTGTTTTGTTGTGTGTGTGTGTTTCTGTTTGTATTTCTCACACAAACAAAGATCTGATTCCCAATAGACAAGATTAAAAAGGTATACGTTTTTATAGTTATATCTTGTGACCTCATCACATACTCTTTTTTTTTTTTTTTTTTGGTTGTCTTTGGTGCAGTTTGACTGAAAGGTAAACACAACACAGACCAGAGTTAACTATTTGTTTGCTTGTTTAATATGCGTCAAAATTCCTAGATCAGGAGTCATTTCTTTTCCACAAAATATGGTACGTGCTCTACAAAAAGTGAGACACCTTGGGTCAAAAGTTGTTCGCCGCAAAACTAGCAATGTGAGCTAACAAAATCACATGGTAGTTTTGATTTGGTTTAAATGCTGAATCCAGCTCAGTTAATTTTACCTGTATGATGTGTGTCCGCAGAGTCGTACGTGTTCTCCTTTGTCTTCTTACTGTGAAGCAATAAAAATAAAATCAGTGTTGGAGACACAGGTGGCCAAGTCTAGACTCTCTCACCATCTTCATCAGTCTTAAACGACACAAGAAGCCTTACTATTCCCCTGAAACACCTCTGTAAGAGCTTTCCATTCATTCATCCTCATTTCCCCACAATCCCCCATCCCTGAGCTCTATCTCTGGAGAATAATGCACATCTCCTGACTCTGACCTCTGACCCTCAACCTCCTCTATTCTCCCCAAACCAATGCTTTATCTGAACTGCAATCCAATGTGTTGCTGAGGAATCAAAATGTGTATATCAGCTTACGCTTGCTCTTTTATTGAATGCAAATCTATTAAGGCAGACTGAAAGAGCAATGGTGCTTCAACCAGGTGCATGATAGTAGGTTTTATTATGATTTATTGTATTATCATTGTATTGATACATAAGCTGCTTCTGCTTACTGTAACAGGTATAATATAAGTTAGGGATCCACACAATCAATTTGTTTTGGGACACCATGAAGGAATTAAGTTAACATTAGATTGTACAAATTTAAGTACATTGAACAAAACAGATAAGTTGTCACCAAAAAAACTCAAGAATTGTGTTATTGAGCTCATTTCAAATAAGTAGTTTGAACAAACAGCAAATGCCATAATTTTGAGTGTCGTTATCGCAGAAGTGGCTTTATTCTGCAAAAACAACCGTGCTGAATCTATTTTATCCTGCTTATTACATGGCTACTAGCCACAAAACATAAAAATTGGACACAAAACAGTGTTCTGAGCTATAATAGTTTAGATTAAATCTTTAATTAAACCCAAAGCTGACAGAAATGAAAACAGCCGAATGGAGTATGCACTAACTTGTGCATTATTCAGTCTCAAGATGGCACAAACTCAAAAATGCAAAGCTGACCGAAATGAAACTGGATAAATAAAGCATATACAAACCTATATATTATTCATCCACAATTGAAAAACAGGTATGACAAACAAGTAGATGCAAGTATATGGACGTATTAATTGACAGTCAAGATGTTATTTAGCGATTGTTATCCAGGAATAATATGCATTGGAATGTTGCGACCAACCAGAATATTCCAGAAAGCTGTGTAATGAACAAAAGTAACTACACTGTGTATTACGTTATTTTATGTACAGTAAACATTGAGGGAAAATTAATGATTCAAATTAATTAAATTGCAAAAGGATTGTAGAGTACAATAGGAAACACTTTACTATAAGATCTATAACATCAACAGTGTGAAATAGCTACAACTATTACTGAAGTTATTTTAATGTCAGTTAAAATCGATCAAAAATACAAAATACAACTAACTTTATTAGTTATTAGCACATTTAAATAAAATACTTCTGATTTTAATGAGTTGTAAGACTTTAACTAAGGAATTAGTGTTACCCAAGATGAAAAAATGCATTGCAAGTAGCTTTAATTAGTCAGGATTCCATCCTAACATGAAGTGAATCTTGTCTAAGTTTGTAAAACAATATTATTACAATAATCCAAATGTGAATTAGATGCGCACATGTGGGTGTAATATTTGCTATGTCAGAGTTTATTCAGAAAACTCAAGTCCAAAACTACATTTTGCGAATTAAGATGAGATTTTTATTTGAAAGTTGGCGTTTTAATCACTCGTTTCTCATGTGATACTTCAAAATGCACATTAACACAGGGTAATGAAAACCCAGCTATTGTCAGTTTAGTTTAATAATCAAATAATGACAAATGGATCCTTATTGTAAAGTGTTAATGAACAATATGGCTATAGAGAATCAGGACATTTCCAATCAATATCTCAGGAATGCTGTAGGGCAGTTTTAACATAATGTAATGTGATGTGCATTTATAGAGCGCATTTATTGTGTATGGCCAAACACCCAAAGCGCTTCACAATCATGAGGGGGGTCTCTCCGCACCACAACCAGTCTGGAGCATCCACTTGGAAGATGTGCCAGGACAATGGGGTTACACCCCTACTTTTTACGTGAAGTGCCATGTGAATCTGAATGTTCTTAAAAGCATCATCTATGTAGAGGCCACAATAACAACATGTTCAATCGCCCATTATATTGTATTATTGAGTATGTCTGAAGCATCTGTGAGCATCTAAACATCTGAGGTAGGCTGGGAATCACTGGGGCTCAAACTGTGTCTGCTGGGATTGATAACAGGACTAGTAAATGAACTGAGATAAGCTAGCTTTGCTCCAATGAATGCAAACATATTTGATCCTGCCACCCTTCAAAGTCAGACAAAACATACAGAATACAGACAAAACAGTCGTTCAAGCTTTGTTCTTTCAAAATGAAAACTGACCTATTTGTGTTGTCAATACAAATTCTTAGTCTCATTGTGCTCTACTTTATATTGTATGCTACTTGTTGATGCAGTTGATTGACGTTAAGATAACCAGAATGAATAATTAGCATAAAGTCGTTAAGGTACAGATGCAAAAAGACTGTTGAGTGAAAGACATACAAAAAAGAAATAAATTAAGAAAATAAAACTAACTTACCTATGCAGCATTTTAACTACACAGACTGCCACCAGGAGCAGAACCACAAGCAGAATGGTGGGCACAATTATTACAATCAGATTAACTAAAAAGAGAAGAAAAAAAGTGAAAGTCAGAGACCAGGGAAAAAAGAAGACTCTCTTTGTATTTATTTACAGGGTCCAGTTTTGGAACCATGAATTTTAAGAGATAAGCAAGATATCCATAAACTAATGTATTAATGTATTATAAAAAATACCAAAAATTATATACTATTTCTTTAAATCTCCCAAGCTGTACGTGGATAGATTAGACAAACAGAATGAAAGACAGACAGAATGACAGAAAGACAACAAACAGAACGACAGACAGACAGTATGACAGACAGTACAACAGACAGAGAACAACAGGCAGAATGACAGACAAACAGACAGAACAACAGATATAGAAGGACAGACGGACAGAACAACAGACAGAACGTCAGACAGAACAGACAGAGAAAGTCAGAGAGAACGTCAGACAAAATGATAGACAGACAAAACAACAGACGGAGAATGAGAGAGAGTGTACAACAGACAGAATGACGGAAAGCCATGAATCACAGACAGAATGACAAAACTAGACAATGACAGTCAGAACGACAGACACAACAACAGACTGACATAACGACACAGAGAAAAATAGACAGACAGAATCATAGAGAACAAAAGACAGACAGAACGACACAGAGAATGACAACAGACAGAAAGACAGGCAGAATGACAGAAAGCCATAAACGACAGACAGAATGACAGAACTACAATGACAGTCAGAACGATAGACAGAACAACAGACAGACAGACAAACAGACAGACAGAGTAACAGAGAACAACAGACAGACAGAACGACAGACAGAATTACACAAAGAACCATAGACAGAACAACAGACAAACAGAATCATGGAGAACAACAGACAGATAGAACGGCAAGACAGAATCACAGAGAACAGACAGGCAGAACGACAGACAAAATGACACACAGAACCATAGACAGAACAACAGACAGACAGACAGATAGATAAAATGACAAGACAGAAATCACAAAGTACAATAGACAGAACAACAGTCAGACAGAACAAAAAGACAGAACAACAGACAGACAGAAAGACATGACAGAATCACAAAGAACAATAGACAGAAAAACATACAGACAGAACTACAAGACAGAATCACAAAGAACAATAGACAGAACAACAGACAGACAGAATCATAGAGAACAACAGACAGACAGAACTACAAGACAGAAATCAAAAAGAACAATAGACAGAACAACAGAAAGACAGACAGAACAACAGACAGACAAAACGACAGAAAACAACAATAAAAGAACAACAAGATAGAACGAGAGACAGAATAACAGACAGAGAACAATAGACCGAATGACAGAACAACAGACAGACAGAACTACAAGACAGAATCACAAAGAACAATAGACAGAACGAAAAGACAGAACAACAGACAGACAGAATCATAGAGAACAACAGACAGACAGAACTACAAGACAGAAATCAAAAAGAACAATAGACAGAACAACAGACAGAACAACAGAAAGACAGACAGAACAACAGACAGACAGACAGAATCATAGAGAACAACTGACAGACAGAACGAAAAGACAGAAATCAAAAAGAACAATAGACAGAACAACAGACAGAACAACATAAAGACAGACAGAACAACAGAAAGACAGACAGAACAACATACAGACAGACAGAAAACAGACAGACAAAACGACAGAAAACAGCAATAAAAGAACAACAAGATAGAACGAGAGACAGAATAACAGATAGAGAACAATAGACCGAATGACAGAACGACAGACAGGCAAGATGTCTTTATCACTATGAGCTTGCAGTTGAAACTTGAATAAGTGTAGAAATAAAAGGCATATCATATTCTCTGACATTCGTTTAGTACATCTCTAACATAACATATAATAATTAATGAGCGTTAATTAACGTGTGTTCTTAAAATCATACCAAAATCTGCCTGCGAGGCCACAGGTTTGGTCATGTTGTGAATGGGCTGTGTAGGCTGAGCCTCCTGCGTCACCTGAGATGATGCATTCACTACAATAGGACAAAAAGAGCTTTAGTCAAGCAATTTAATGAGAAAAATTAGGCTGTGAAGATTCAGAAACATACCTGGAATGGGTTTGACGTAAGAGCAGCCCAGTAGCTGCAGTCTCATGGCAATCGTCCGGTGCCACTGTTGGGGTACGACTCGGATGTATCGCGATATGATGGAGGGATGGAAGGTGTTGCGCGTTTGGTGGAGGCTGTTAGTGTTTCCTTCAAAAACCTGAGGAAAAATACAACAATGAACAATTAAAACAGATGAATGACAAACAAAGTTAGACAGATATTATTAAGAAATTAAAGTTTAACAAGGTGTTGGAGGCATTGCAATTCTGAGTTTGCTAATCACCATCATATTTTCTGGGCATGTCCAGCTATAGACTTGTAATTAGGGACATACACAGGACATCGGAGGTGTTATATTTTGAAATTTTTGAGTTGCTTGAGGCTATAGACACATTTATGGAGAATACTTCTTTCAGCGTAGAAGGCTATTACTTGTAAATGGCTTCTGCAATGGCTTCTGTTTACACATGTATATGTGTATATGGATATATTACAGTATTGTGAATGTAAACATGCAAGACCACCCTTACAATGTACTTTACCCTGCTGTTTTTGTTCAAAATTTATATTATTTATCTTGAAATTGTTTTCTCCTTCTTCAAATTATATTTTAAGCTCTCAGATATTGTAAATTACAGAACTATAATCTGAAAAAAAAAAAAATTTAAGAAATTAAGCTAATGTCTCTTAGCGTGTGTGACTTATTGGTACTAATAATTTGGAATGATGCCAGAAGATAATTTCTGATGACATTTGACATTAATAATAATAACTTATATTATTATTAGAAAAAAATATATAGGGGTTCAAAGACTTTGTGGGCTTTATGCGAATTTTAGTTTTATAACCGTATTGCATCACTCTGCAGTTTGACAAATATTGCTGCTGTTGGGCAGAATATTGTTCTTTTGAGGCTTTTTTAGTCGAGAATATAGTTGTTTAGATTTCATCTATGCAGGTTATTTATAAGAATACTGCCTATTTTATATTTATAATTTCTGAGAGACATTACATCAACGGCCATTAGCCTGTCTTTGAGCAAAGACGGTTGACGATGTTCATCCACAAGATGGCAACAGAGACCGCATAATAAGAAGCTAAACCAGCGTAATTTCTACAGCTGATCAAATCATTATTAAACTGGTAGGTGATATCTCTCTCTTTTGTATGTTGTAGTGCTGTATTTATACCATAGTAATATTGTGATCTCCTGATTTCAACAGAGAAATACTGGGAAATCTCTGTAGACTGAGATGCCATTTCATGTCACTTTCACACACTAGCTCTAAAGTGACGTTGGTGAATTAGTAAAGGCTTCTGCTGTTCTGACGTCAACTGCAGACGTGAATGAATGGCGGAAAAAAGTAGTTCATCTTACAAAGGGGTTTTGAGACTCTCTATGTTTGATTTTCTTTTTTATATACACGATGATGCTGTCGAACTGTTGTATAAATGCAATATAGTAAACGTAGCAGTGCCACCAGTGCTGATATACAGCCACTTCGCACTGCTACTCATGTGATATTCCTCAAATATATTTATATATTTTAGCATTAAATAATCTCAGAGTGTTTATTTTAATTTTAAAAAGAAAGTAAAGGTTTCCATCCTCCATATTTCTATAACAATTGCTTTGGGAGGGGTTAACAGAAGCTATTTACATTTAAATACCATTTTAGCTGCAACCAGAAGTATTCTCCATCCAGAGGCTGATTTCTTTCAGATTTCCCAGACTTTTCCCAGACCAAATTTTGTTCCAATTGTAGCGAGTCGTGTAGTACCACGTCGCCCTGGGCACAAATCCACACCAGCTGGATTTCTCATCAACCCCGGATCGCTCACAGCTGGACCTCATCAGCCGGGGAGAGATATAAGCCAGCCCCACACAGGAGGAAGTTGAGCTTCATTTCAGATGACTCCCTGCGCTAACGCTTGTCTCTCTCTGTCTCTCCCACAGCCGAACCCAGCTCGTGACCGATCCAACACCATCCCTCGCACCAGTCTTCACCTTCTCCCCGGAGCACCTGAGCACGCACCTCTAAGAAGAGCACTCATTCACCCCTTTATCACTTGTAAATAAAAGCACCCTCCAGGGCATTGTTTGTAACTTCATCTACGGTGTTTGTGTTTTCCCTCTGCCTCGCTACAACTGGTGGAGAATGCGGGCAATTGCAGAGAAAAAAAAAAATTCAGAAGAAACACTCACCATTAAGTAGAAAATAACCGCTGAATTTTTCTCTGTGTTTGTTACAGACAGGCATCCGCTCTCTCTCTCTCCCACGCTTCCTCTTACTCGGCTGTCAACATCCCGTCGCCATGTCTGTGGAAGAGGTACTGCTCCACCTAGCGGAGATCTCCAGCAAACAGAATTCCATCTCTGAGCAACTTACAGCCAGACAGGATCGACTGGAACAGCAGCTCCGCCAGGTGGCCAGACACCATTCGACTCCCGAAGTGAGTGCGCATCATCATCTCACTAAACTCAGCGACCTGGATGATATTGATGCATATTTACATACATTTGAAGTTATTGCCGAGAGAGAAGGCTGGCCAAAAGAAAACTGGGCGAGAATGTTGGCTCCGTTTCTCACAGGAGAAGCGCAACGAGCATATTTTTCACTAGAGACACCTAAAAATGAAGATTACAAAGCGTTAAAAAAGGAGATATTAGCCAGAATGGGGCTATCCACAATCAGCGCAGCCCAACAGTTTTCCCAATGGTCTTATGACGAGAAACAACCAGTGAGAACTCAAGCAGCTCAACTTTCTCGCCTGGGGAGGCTATGGTTATTGGGAGGAGATCCCTCGGCGGTCCAGGTCGCTGAGAAGGTGATCATCGAGAAGATGATGCGTGCGTTACCCCGACGTTTGCGAACACTCACCAGCATGCGAAATCCTGAGTCACTGGCCACCCTGGTGGAGGCGATCGAGCTGGCTGAAGCTCACATCGCCAGAGATAATGGGGAGAGAGCGGCTCTGCCACCCCGGAGGGTAAGTGCACCTTGGCGACCGGTGGAGGGCACAGCGCGACCAGGCGGCAGACCAGCGGTCCCCAGCCCGATGGACGAGCCGATGCCTACCGAGCCGACGACGCACTCGACCCCGGCCTGGACAGCAGGGTGCGCGGTACACCGCAATATCCCTCCCGAAGCTCCCACCCATAAAGTCCAGCTAGAAGGGAAAACACAAACGGCCACTTTAGAAACAGGAAGCGCCATCACCCTGGTTCACCCAAAAACTTTAAAATACCATCATGAAAGCAAAGGGCGAATAGCGATCACGTGTGTGCATGGTGATACCCGCCACGTACCCGCCCGAAGAGTGACCATCGCGGCGAAACCAGGCAGCTGGCGAATCGAAGTCGGGGTTGTTCCAGATCTTCCTGTGTCCCTCCTACTGGGCAGAGACTGGCCGGGGTTCGACGAACTCCTAACTCACCACCACGCTCCATCGGCTCGTTCAAAGAAGAAGAACAAGCCACGGGCTCATCGGGACCGCAAACCAGCGCTGATGACCACCGAGAGCGACAGAGGGGGTGAGTCATCTATATCTGCTAATCTATACTTTGATCTGTTTCAACAGATAACCTCAGGAGGTGACTTTGGCAGAGCACAGAGGGAAGATGAAACGCTCAAACACTGTTGGCCACAAGTACGGATCATCGACGGAAATGAGCGACTTCCCAGCCCTCACCCCCTCCCACATTTCATTGTGGAAAATGGTCTGCTGTACTGTGTCGCAGAGAGGCGGGGGGAAAAGAAGACACTACTGGTCGTTCCGAGGACCAAGAGGGAGACGGTCTTGGAACTGGCACATACCCACCCGATGGCTGGACATCTGGGAGCGGCCAACACGGTGAAAAGGATCCGCGATCGTTTCCATTGGCCGGGGCTAGACGGGGAAGTAAAAAGGTATTGCCAGGCATGTGACATCTGCCAGAGAACGTCTCCCCAACGACCACCCCCCAGCCCTCTAATACCACTACCGATCATCGACGTGCCCTTCACCCGAATTGGTATGGACTTGGTAGGGCCTTTGCCGAAGTCGGCCCGGGGACATGAGCACATCCTTGTTATCCTCGATTATGCCACCAGATACCCTGAAGCGATTCCCTTGAGGAAAGCCACGTCATCGGCCATCGCGAAGGAGCTGTTTCTGCTATGCAGTCGAGTGGGAATCCCAACAGAGATACTGACCGACCAGGGCACCCCCTTCATGTCCCGGTTGATGGCAGACCTCTGTCACCTCCTCAAGGTAAAACAACTAAAAACCTCAGTGTACCATCCACAGACTGACGGCCTTGTCGAGCGATTCAACAAAACTCTGAAACAGATGCTCCGACGGGTGGTGGCAGAGGACGGGCGCGACTGGGACCTCATGATCCCGTACGTGTTATTTGGTATCAGGGAAGTCCCCCAGGCCTCCACAGGATTTACCCCCTTCGAACTGCTGTTTGGCCGCCAACCCCGAGGCCTATTGGATGTGGCTCGTCAAGCCTGGGAACAGGAACCAGCCCCCCAGCGGTCGGTGATTGAACACGTACGGGACATGAGAGAACGCATCGACAAAATCATGCCCATCGTCAAACAACACCTGACCGAAGCCCAGCGCGCCCAGCAGAGATTGTATAACCGGCCCGCCCAACCCAGAGAGTTCCACCCAGGGGACAAGGTGATGATACTCATACCTACCACAACGTCGAAGTTCCTCGCATCCTGGAAGGGACCATACACCGTGGTAGAAAGGGTAGGGCCGGTAAATTATCGAGTCCGTCAGCCGGGACGAAGACGGGAAGAACAACTTTACCACATTAATCTTATGAAGAAGTGGGTTGCAGCTCCAGGTCATCTCGTTGCCTTCGCTGAAGAAACTCTTCCCGTTGTCCACATTGGTGAGCAACTCTCACCAAACCAGAAGGCGGAGCTGCAAGCCTTGGTTGGTCAGTTCAAGGATGTGTTCTCGGAGAAACCGGGCCGAACCTCCATCATCCAACACAACATTATCACTCCTCCTGGCACCATCGTCCGGCAAAGGCCTTATCGAGTTCCAGAGGCTCGCAGGCTGGCTATCGACGAGGAGATCCAGAAGATGAGAAGGTTAGGCATCATCGAACCATCCCGTAGCCCGTGGTCCAGCCCAATAGTGATGGTCCCCAAACCCGATGGCACCCTCCGTTTCTGTAATGACTTCAGGAAACTCAACGAGATCTCCAAGTTCGACGGATACCCCATGCCTCGGGTGGACGAGCTGCTGGATAGGCTGGGTGGAGCCCGATTTATCTCCACCATCGACCTCACCAAAGGCTACTGGCAGTTACCACTCAGTGAAGACGCCAAGGAGAAAACCGCCTTCTCCACACCCGGTGGGCACTGGCAATACCGGGTTCTTCCCTTCGGGCTCCACGGGGCCCCAGCCACATTCCAAAGAATGATGGACATCCTGCTGAGGCCCCACCAGCCATATGCAGCAGCCTACCTGGACGACCTCATCGTCCACTCAGAGTCATGGGAAGAACACCTATCCCGGTTACGGAGGGTGCTCTTAGATCTTCGACGGGCTGGGCTCACAGCTAATCCCAAGAAATGCCACCTGGGTCTAGCCGAAGCCAGATACCTCGGCTTCCACATTGGACGAGGTCTCATACAGCCACAACAAAACAAGGTCAAGGCACTACAAGAAACTCCACAACCCACCACAAAGACCCAGGTACGTGCATTTCTGGGGTTAGCGGGCTACTATAGATGTTTTATACCTAACTTCTCATCCATAGCCAGCCCTCTGACAGACCTGACCAGAAAGGGGCAGCCGGAGAGGATAAGATGGACCAAGGAAGCCGACGATGCATTCCGAGCCCTTAAGACGGCCCTCACGTCCTCACCGGTACTGCACGCACCTGACTTCGGCTGCCCCTTCATTCTACAGACGGATGCTTCCGACTCGGGCCTGGGCGCGGTCCTCTCCCAGGTCCACGGCGACGAAGAACATCCCATCATGTACGTGAGTCGGAAGCTGACCCCCGCAGAGACCCGCTACGCAACGGTGGAGAAGGAGGCCCTGGCGATCAAGTGGGCAATCCTGGAGCTAAGGTACTATCTCCTTGGCAGGAAATTCACTCTGGTGACCGACCACGCCCCGCTACAATGGATGGCTACAGCGAAGAACAGCAACGCTCGGGTCACCAGATGGTTCCTGTCGCTCCAGGATTTCAACTTCGACGTCCAACATCGAGCCGGGGCCTCCCACGGAAACGCAGACGGACTCTCACGGCTCTGGTCAGGATGGGCAGGTCTGTCGAAACATTCTACCCCCCCTCTCAATACACTGCTCTTCCTTCGCAGGATACCCAGGACCAGGACGACGCTAAGGGGGGGGGAATGTAGCGAGTCGTGTAGTACCACGTCGCCCTGGGCACAAATCCACACCAGCTGGATTTCTCATCAACCCCGGATCGCTCACAGCTGGACCTCATCAGCCGGGGAGAGATATAAGCCAGCCCCACACAGGAGGAAGTTGAGCTTCATTTCAGATGACTCCCTGCGCTAACGCTTGTCTCTCTCTGTCTCTCCCACAGCCGAACCCAGCTCGTGACCGATCCAACACCATCCCTCGCACCAGTCTTCACCTTCTCCCCGGAGCACCTGAGCACGCACCTCTAAGAAGAGCACTCATTCACCCCTTTATCACTTGTAAATAAAAGCACCCTCCGGGGCATTGTTTGTAACTTCATCTACGGTGTTTGTGTTTTCCCTCTGCCTCGCTACACAATGTGTTACCATTAACCTTTTATAATTTCAAATTTCACTGGGCAATGGCGGCCATGTTTTTGACATGCCCAAATTCAGCACCAGCTTGGACAGAGACGCTCACTAAATGCCAATTTGTAAGTCAATCAGATAAAAAAATTGCATATTTAAATAATATTTTCTCTTCATATAGCACCACCATGTAGACAAATAGAAATTTCGATAACAAAAAATATTTTATTATACATAAAATAGTGAAAAATGACATGTGTGTGTGTGTGTATATATATATATATATATATATATATATATATATATATATATATATATATATTTTTTTTTTTTTTTTTTTTTTTATTATTCCAATATCATGTTATCAATATTATTACAATTTATATTAGATATCATACTAATTATTCGATTTCACTCTAAATTGCATTGTTTCCTAAATGGTATTTCCAGTTTTATTTAACACGAATAAAGATTTATATGAAGACAATGCCTTACCATCTCATCAGAGTTATTATACTGGACAAATGTCCGCCAGCGATTCCTCTCTTTGTACTCGATCTTGAAATTCTTCACAAAATATTCAAAGCCTGCGATGGTCAAGCCTGTGGTCAGAATACCTACGACACAATAAAACATGACTCAGTACGATTACAAAATCTGCCTTTTCAATCGTTCTCTGATGCAAGCGCTCAGACAGCTGAGGAATGTGACAGCATGTAGGCTACAGAGTTCACTTGATAGTGCGGCCCTGTCATCTGCATCACAGTGGAAAACCTCCTTAGTTACAAAGCACATTCCTGAGGGAAACACTTGAGTGGATGTTTCCTTGCAGATGCTGGAAAGACCCGAGACCTGTTATTACCTCCTCCTAACATTAACTACATCACTGGCGCGAAGACTATACGAGCCATTTAGAGTGTGAAGCTTTGAAACTGACATGTAAGGGCCTGAAAGGCAGTTAGTGATCATCAGAGAAAAGCTAAAAGAGTTCAAGGAGATGCCACTATATAAAGCATGTCTGAGAGTAAAGATAAAGAATCAAAGCAACAAAATCAAAGTAAAAGACACTGTGGTCTCTTCTTGTAGACAAAGATGAATATCCTGGAAACTAAAGAGCTGTTAGTGTGAATTATAAAATGCATAATGTTGCTAATCACGTTCAGTTTCTTTAAGTGTGCCTCACATAGGTGAGTGGACTTGATAAACCACCAGTAGGAAACACACTCTTTTATCTCTCTGACACTTTAACCACCAGTTTTGCACCAGACACTTTCTTAAAATCACTCCATATCTCTTAAAAACACTCTGCATTGATGAACTGTGCTTCACACAGGTGAGTGGGCTTGACAAACCACCTGTAGAAAACACACTCTTTCATCTCTCTGACACTTTAAAGAGTCACGAAACACTAAAACACGTTTTTTGAGGTGTTGACAGTCATATTTGTGTCCCACGTTGCTAAAAACACTATTTGGACACATATATTTCACTAAAAAGTGAAAATGGTTGTTTTTGCATTTTTTCGAGCACATTCGTTCTTCCGGTTTGAAAAACTGTTTGAAGCTACGTCACGGTCATGAGATCCTTGTGTAAATTCCAGCGTGTAGACTGGTTGTCTGTACCAGCCGGTACAATGCGTCATCTTTGAGTTTTTAGCATTAATTCATGAGAAAGACTTGGTTCGAACCAATCAGCACGCTCTATTGTGTATGAGGTGCAACTTCATTAATATGCATGATGACTTGGAAGACCGTTTTTACCTGTTACAGTGTTTAGACGGCAGAGAGAGACGCCACGTTGTGTTGCCAACCATAATTAAAACAAGTGGAAGAAGAAGAATTGTTTGGAGACATGGGTTGTCAGTGTTGTGCTTATAAATGCTTCACAACAAAGGTTTTGTTTCCATTTTTCTGCAATGAGAGCACCACTGCTTGTGGACTCACAATGTAAATTACAGTTGTCTGCTAATATGCGACAAAAATATATTCGAAAGAAAGATTTTTTACCCGAGAGCTTTTCGCATCTGAAAATGGTGAAATCCAGATTTGCAGCTCATCCTCTTTTAAAAAAAGATGCGATTCCAGTTTGTGTTGATTGTCTTGTTTCTACAGATTTGGTAAGCGTGTGATCAGTGTTCTTCGTTTATATTTATTCAGACGGCAAAGTTAGTTAGTTTAGTTAGTCGTCATCAGAACTCTTTCAGTCTTTAAAGACACCTTAGTAAAAAAGAATTAGTTACTAAGTTTCAGAACATTAATAACATTACAATATTATGGAGTGAAAGATCAAATGTAAATGCTGCTTTCTGAATGTAAACACCTTAATCAAACTATTACCATCGTGTAGGATTTTTGCCACATTTTTTGACAGAAATATATACACAAACGACTGTTTGACACTATTCCCTGCACCTGGGAGTTTTTTTTTCCTCCCAGACGTCGTGTGGTATCAAAAATTCCATTAAAGCTACACTCTTCCAGCAGTTCCTCGCATCCAATATCTTGTTTGTTACGGGGGGCATGCATGAAATGTTCCTAAATGAAAGTGAAAGTGCTAGACTGCAGTTAAAGTCAACAAATTAAGAATGAAACGCCAGAAATTACACAAAACTACAGAGGAAATGTGGATAGCGTGGTGACGCGATGACGTTAATCGAATTGTGCTATAACATGTGAAACAGGATCATGAAAGGAACATACAGAGAGCAACACAATTACAATCACTCTATATCTCTAAATAAACAACACTGTGCATTGTTGAAGCGTGCTTCAAACAGGTGAGTGGGCTTGACAAACCACCTGTAGAAAACACACTCTTTTATCTCTCTGACACTTTAACTGAAACTTGCACCAGTTTTGCACCAGACACTTTCTTACAATCACTCGTTATCTCTTAAAAAGCATTGTGTATTTTGGAAGTGTGCTTCACACAGGTGAGCGGGCTGGACAAACCACCTGTAGAAAACACACTTTTTCATCTCTCTCACACTTTAACTGACACTTGCACCGGTTTTGCACATTTGCACCAGATGTTTTCTTACAATCACTCCATATCTCTTAAAAAACAACAACATTGTGCACAATTTGTTATGCATTCCTAAATGATTATGTTCATTGTTATTCTTGTATTAATTGTATTCCACTTGTTTGTGTTTAGGGCTGTATTTTTGTTTTCATTGTTTGAAAAGGATTGTAATGATGAACTACATGGATCCAGCAGATAATCACATGCCTGTGTAATTATTTTAGTACTGACGGAGGCTTATAGTTAAGGTTATAGACACCTCTGTGATGGTTTTCTTTATTTATTGTCTATTTTTTGTTGTTTATTTATTAATTTTTTCTTAATTGTCTGAATTCTAAGCCAGACTGGCATCCCACTTAAAATCGTCAGTTTTTGAAGTGAGCTTCACATAGGTGAGTGGGCTTGGCTGAAACTGCTACGGACAAAAGCATCTGCTAAATGTAAATGTTCTTTCACAGAACAATAATTTCGCTTCATAAAACCCCAATGTATCGTCAGATTTCACAGGTATTCATTTTTGCTTTGATTTCAATTTTTTAGTTAACTCTCTCTTTAAGCAATGCTCTGTTGGTTGCTTTCATTTGGAAGAACTAAGGATTATTTTGAACACAGCATGACTGGAACATTTTGAGGTTAAAAGTGAAATACTTCTCTCCTCTGAATGCCAGCATTACCACTAAAACCAGACAAATTTCACAATCCTAAATATTACTGCGTGATGAATTAAAAGGATATTTCACATAAAAAATCATGCACTCACTCTTCACTTGTTCAAAACCTATTTAAATTTCCTTCTTCTGTAGAACATAAACAAATGTATTTTGAAGAATGTTGGAAACTGCTATCCATTGGCCATCATAGCAGTTTCCCCCCTTACTATGGATATCATTAGCTATATTTCCATTCACCTATTTATATGCACTTTATGGAATATCATACTTAAAAATGCTTAATGGAAACACTAATATGCTAATACACTTTCAAAATGCCCATAAAACAAGAAAAACTGAGTAGGATAAACATTTTATCCGATAAGAAAAAATGCACATAAACTACCACGGAAACGCATTAACCAAATAAAATCCAGCATGCACACCAAAAAAAGTCATGACATTTTGAGATAACAGATCATGTAGTAACAAAAATGGGCATAATTGAATGACATTAATGAACAATGCAGCAGACGACCACATTGTAAAACATCAGAATTGTTGTTTTGGTCATTTTTAAATCCCTCAGCCTAAGTCCTTCATCAAAGTGCTTTAGTATTTGGATCTCCCCAGAACTGTCCTGAGCGTCTGCGCTCCCAAAGATAGTCTCACGTCTCCAAAAGCCACCACAGGTTCGTTGTGTATTCTAGTTAATTTGCAAAGAAACATAGCTAAAAGTGCCTATTACTCTTCACAAAATCTTATTCTGCGATCCCCAGCAAAAAGAAACTTCTGATGGAGAGTAAAAAATATATAATAAGAATTGTGACACTACGAAATCACAACTAAATCTTCTGAAGATCATAGTATTTTACAGTTATTGTACAATTTTACCTTGTGTACCTTATTTACTGAAATGTATTTAACCATGCATGTTTTGTTTTTGTTTGTTTTTTTGAGAGAAAAACATGATTTTTTAATCCTTGTTGACAAAAGTTCACTTATTGTGCGTTCTTATGCCGCATTAAGCCTCATTCACACTACGAGCAACTCTTAGCTGCAAAGCAACAAACGACTGTTCATTTCAACAGAGAGCAAGCGACTTTCCTCCATCTACGTGAGTGACAGTGACCGTTGGCGACCAGGTGGGCATGTTGAGCGACACAACCAAGTTGAGAATCCTTCAACTTAATGCAAATGAGGACCAACTTTCTCAAGCGACAGCCAATAGGAGTTAGACAGCCAGTAAGAGCTCACGTGATCCTCTCTCAGCTTGCTCAGAGGCCAGTTGTATTCTCTGTGCTGTAGATATACACATACCTGACAGAGCCCCCAGAGCGACAAACAACTACAAAGGCGCTGCTAGTGTGAATGAGGCATTAACCAATCAGGAGCTTGCTGTTTTAGGGGAGTGATTATGACGTAGCGTCTGCAGTTGGTGTCACAAGGGAAAACCCTCCTGCCGATACCGGGCAACAGCTCATCAAACTGGGCTCGGCTCAGTCTGAAGCCGCGTTTAAAGCTTCCATCATCCAGATACAGTTTCTGGAGGAGTTTATGAACGTACAGAGCTGGTGCACTTCTGAAAGGACCTAGTGGATCAGGCACAGCACCGAACGCATCTACTCTGTTTTTCAGCCTCCCTAAAGTACATAAATCACAGCTAGTATCTCAATAAAATTTATGTTAACCATTTAGCAATGCAGCTAAAGTCACTGGGCAGACAGATGTCCTGCCTATGACGTGAATCCACGTTTATTGTGAAGTAAGTTCGATGAAAAAAAAAAAAAGTGAATTTGATGCATGAATGAAGCGTGTAAACTCAGTGTCTATTTACAGGTGAATAATGCAATTTAACTGTGCTTGCTGCGTCTGGTGTGAACACAGCATTAGGAAGCATCATGTGAATGCAAAGTAGTGACACAAATAGAGATGCCGTTTTACTTGTCTTATTTTTAATTCTTAAAAATCTCACCTCATAGCCAGACATGTGGCGAGCATCTTCAGTTTTTGAGTTCTCTCATCCTTCAGACCGAGTTCGTTCTTCGGAGGTAATCTGGGAATACTTTCAGTGCTGCAAAGAGTTTCTAAAGCCTGTCCTGGCTTACTCAAATCACTTGGTCAAACAAATTGAAGTGACACATGAATTTTTCATCCTTGCTGACAAAAGCTCTCTTTAGAAAGCATCGTGTGAATGCAGAGTAGTGACCCCACAAATATAAAGATGCCTTTTCTCTAGTCTTATTTACACCATGGCCTCAACGAAAACAGAGCTTCCTCTTTGAGGCGAGTTAGTTTCACTTAAGGACATCGTGTCCAAAAGCACAGATTGCCCACAGGACACAAAGTGAGCATTCTCTCGCTCTTCGAGCTGTATGAAATTAACTCGGCTGTGCTGTCTACACACACAACCATGCTCAAAATAAACGCATGTCCGGAACCTTCCTAAATTTAAATGTGCTTTTGTAACGTGTGATGAATGGACACAGAGGGCCTTTCTCTGTCTTTATGCAATACCCGGAACTGCTCAAAAAGCTGCAGATAGCAGCGAGCTGTTGGGGAGGGTTGAATGCTCATGTGCTCTGCGAGTGTGTAATGCTGGACAATCACAGAACAGATCACGAGGAAGACCTTTTATGAGGATGATAACCCTCTTAACACCCTCTGGAGGCAGGCTCGGGTCTTCCGGATATGTTTGTGCCGGGGATCTAATACCATTAATGGGGTAGTTGACACAAAAATGAACATGTACTCACTTTTTACTCACCCTTAACAGGGTTACAGGGTTTCTACAGGTTTCACCAAGTCAAATTTAAGACTTTTAAGACCTTTTTAAGACAATTATGACTAAAATTTCTAATTTTTTTTTGTAATAGCCAGTGGAATTTTTTATTACTTGCCCCATTAAATTTTAAATTCAGTTATTTCTTAACCACATATTTCATATGATGTGTCGAAGCAAGCAAACTGTAGTTATATACAAGTGCATTTATTAATAATATATGTGATTTTTTTGAAAAAAGACAAGTTTTAAAAAATATAATAAACTAAATATATGCACAACACACATTTATGCATAAATACATAGAGCATTTTTAAACAAATGTAATTCTAATGATATATGGAAGTTAATAAACCATGTTGGTAAATCAAAGGAAAATTAAGACCTGTTGAAAAGTATTTATGACCTACAACGCCAAATTTCTCTGAATTTAAGACTTTTTAAGACCGCACGAACTCCCTGGTTTTAGCGTCATTATCGCAATGAGATCCAAAGAAATCCAAAGTACAAACATGTACTAAAATGACCTTCACAGTAAAACTTTGTAGTTGTTTTCAACACAACCAGGCAACCAAGAGATGAATGCAATTATGAACAAACACGTAAATGAGTGCAAGTATTACCTGTGATCCTCCTCTTTTCTCCCAGGTCAATCTGCAGCCACAGTAGATGTTTATTGCTCAGGTCTTCAGAAATACGGGTGCTGTTAGGGAGCCAGTCGACTTCAGACCCATCAGAGGAGACATTGTGCGTTGACAAACTTGTAGTAATCAATGCAGGTTGAAGAGCAGTCTGTTGGCTGCAGTCTGCCGGAAAGAGAGAGTGTAGTAGTACATTTAAAATCAAACAATCTACTGTTTAAATGTTCATTTTTTTTTTTTTTTTTTAGAAGTCAATACTTTTGACTTCGAATAAGAACGAATTAACCTTCTGATGTCTACTGTATTGCCACCTTCTGTACAAAAGAAAATGCTAGATACTGCAAATACTTAAAAACTGTAAAGTTAGAGTAACACTTTAGTTTTAAACGGATTAAGTTTTCCACTGAGAATTAAGTTTTAAAGGCGCTATACATAAATTAATAATAATAATAATACTTATTATTATTATTATTATTATTATTATTTTTTAACCCTTTGACTGCCGCTCTACCAAATGGTTGACTGTTTTTACTGTTTTAAATAATGACTGTTAAAATAATTTAAAGAATGACTGTTTTAAATAATGGCTTACACACAGCATTGTTGTTTACAAAACAAAAAATATATAAATAAACAAATAAACAAATAAAATAAAACAATCCTGTAACACGACTACACTTGTTTTTGGTTTTACTGTAAAAACAAGAAAGCTTGTATTTAAGCAAAATAAGCAAATGTTTTATGGGATACTTCCAAAAACAAAGATGATTTAGTATTCAAAAATGTTTTACTTTATTTTTTTTAATAAAATGGTTTTACATCTTATTATGGTCAGATTATTTTCAGTACTTTTACCATAAACCGACATATCAACCATTTGGTAGAGGCTGATATTTTAAAAATGATGGGATGTGCATAATTTGCATTGAATGTGTTAACTAATTAACATTAGGAGTGAAGAAATGCAAACCAAACATGTTTTTCTTGGTGGGGTAGTTAAGGGGTTAAGTTTAATAGTTCATGCTATTAACTAATAGCTTATTACCTGCCCATTTAATAAGATATTAGCTGTATTATTAGTTAGGGATGTCCAGATTCGAAAATTGAATGTTACCTCCCAATCAGGACTTGAATATATATGTATATATATATATATATATATATATACTGTATATTCTCATAATTTTTCAACACATCTACAGTTATGCAGTGGCACAGAGTTAGATCACTTTCTTGACTTTACACAGAAACAGCAACGCGTGCGGCATGACATCAATTTGTTGCAAAGACGCTAATGGTTAAATGCCGGCAAAGTAGAACACGGAAGCAGTCGATGAGACTTTTTGGTGCCATTGCAAACGTAATTGATGAGAACAGAAACGGCCTCAAACCTGACAAGGTAGAGATGTTAGTTTTTATTAACAAACATTTCCTTCTGTGAAACTCACTACTGTGATGACAGTAAGAGTTAGAAGTTAGAAGCACATTACTGGCTTTGCAAACACTGTGGCACTTTTTTTTTGTTTACATCCCTGCTGAGCATTTTAATTTGAGGTGCTGTTTGCTTTTTTATTAGATTGTGTAGATTAACTGTTGTACTAAAGTCCAAAAGTGAAGAATTTCTGTTATGCATAACTTGATTGTTCAAGCTACCACACAGAAGTGCTCTGTTTATTAACAGAATTGTTGAATGTTAAAATATGGTGAATTAAATAACACAATAAGGAACATGCTGGATCTGCTTCTTCACTCTATTCTTTTTTATGTATTATAGAAGTATCGGATCGGGTTTCGGTATCGGTAGATACTCAAAATCATATTATATTCGGACTTGAGGGCAAAAGAACTGATCGGGACATCCCTAATATTAGTAGCTATGGAGTTTGAGATTATTTTACATCCTAAATCCCAAAACCTTAACCCAACGAGTACTTCACTATTACAATTGAGCTAAATTGTGTGGAACTGTGTGGATTCCAGCAGTTCTTACAGTGTATTTAGGATGCAAGCACACATTTATTTGCATAGTGCATTATTTGACCACATATTTGTGGGACATATAAAAATTATAAACATTAAAGGAATAGTTCAGCTAGAAATAGAAAATACAAACCCTCAAGTGATTTAAACCCTTTTCTAATAGGAAAGTTTAAAATTAAAAGTCATAGGCATTCAAAGTAGAGGAAAAAATATATACGGTCGTCAATGGGAAGCAGTTTCCAACATTAAACAAAATAATTTCTTTAGTTTTCATCAGAAATGTACTTAAACAGGTCTTAACATGAAACATTTTGGTCTGAACTATCACTCTAAAAATATCAAAAAGAGTATTGTTGGTTCTAGACGTGTCTAGCGCTTGCTTTTGATCTAATAAAACACATACGGAGCACAAACGCGGTTACGTGTACATTGACTCAACAGGATGCTCCGAGCTCTTAAAATACCCACCATGTGTACAGTTAAACGGAGACGCATGTGCTGTGAACACAACGATGTAACAATAAAAGAAGAGGGAAAGACAGCCGCTTCTTTTAAAAAGAGAGAAAAACAGAGCCTATGCATCCTGCTGCAGCTGAGCCCCGATTTGGCCAACACTATCACATTCCTCACGCTGAGCATATGTAGGGAGAGGAAACGGAGGAAAAAGACAAGAGGACAATCTCAGCGTGAGGTCAGAAAACATCCCTGATTGAAGTTTCGGCTTACTCAAAACAATGGGCTTCAAAAGTCTGTCAACAACACTAGATACATGATGTCCATTTTTTATTAGTATTGGAAGAAATAGTAAAACTGTAATGTTACTTTGTAGAAATCTTGAAATTTGTGCTGAGGCCAAAATGAACTACGACTAATCGCATCCGTAAGGTTGTTCTCTAACGTCTTAAAAGATGATGATACTTCTTTCATTTCTTTATTCATTTTCTTGTCGGCTTAGTCCCTTTATTAATCCAGGGTCACCACAGCGGAATGAACCACCAACTTATCCAGCAAGTTTTTATGCAGCTGATGCCCTTCCAGCTGCAACCCATCTCTGGGAAACATCCACACACACATTCACACACACTCATACACTACGGACAATTTAGCCTACCCAATTCACTTGTACCGCATGTCTTTGGACTGTGGGGGAAACAGGAGCACCCGGAGGAAACCCACGCAAAGGCAGGGAGAACATGCAAACTCCACACAGAAACGCCAACTGAGCCGAGGTTCAAACCAGCGACCTTCTTGCTGTGAGGCGACAGAACTACCTATTGCGCCACTGCCTCACCGATGATACTTCAGTTAAACGTTTTTCAATACCGTTTAGTTCCAAGCAGTTCTCAATGTTTTTAATTCCGCTAACACGTCTGATGTATCCGCCATGACAGCCAGGTCAGGATCGGCCTGAGATTTCTGTTTTTCTGTGCCTGTTCTAAGAGCTTTAGTAAAAATGTCATACTGTTTTTGACCAAGATGTTTGGACAATGGACATACTCAGAATTTTATTTTAATTGGAGTAGGGTAAGTTTACATGTAATATAACTTTTTTGTGTGCGGGTTATCGGAGCGAATCAATCAACCAGCCATCCTCGCCAGAGCCACAAGACCTCCCCCGATTAATCGTACCCAAAACATTTAAGTGTGTATGTACTGTATATATTTATTATGTGTATATATAAATACATACTTGAATAAATATATTTGAGAAAATGTTTATTTATATTTAGATATAAAAATGTGTGATACGATATGTGTGATATAATACAAAATATATTTATATTTATTATATTTGCAAATTATATTTATTTTATATTAAATTTATATGCATTTAAATATTTATGTAACAAAATTGTTTTGTATATTTTTGTTTCTAAGTATGTGTGTGTGTCACATATTATACAGTTAAATAATGTAGGATAATATTCTATGATGATATTTATTTATAATGCTATTCTGTACTACAATGTAATTTAAAAAATGAATAAAATCAAAGCTAACTTCCTGAAGCTGCGGGGTAACAAAATCCATGCTTTGTATTTCATATTAATGGCAAATGAAATTTTAGTAATCCTTAAAATTTGAGTAAATCCTGAAATTTTATGCTGAGTGAGGCTTTCTGTACAGTTAACGACACTTTATTACAATTTGACCAAAAATAGGACTTATATTGTTATTTTTATTATTTATTATTATTATTTCATTTTGAATGGATAGCAAGCTTATGGTTACCTTTTCCCCCTCCAAGTAATATTCTTTAATATATCCAATTCTGTTTTTGTTTACATTTTTCTGGATTATATTTGATTGCAAATTAAATTTTGGCGATCCAAAATGATGTCTAATTAGGTGAAATAATGAAACGGCAATTTATAAAAATGATCAAAAAGCAGATTCCTTTGAAATCAGATTAAAATTGCTTCCCAATTGTTATTTATTTTTCCTAAATTGCTCAAATTGATAATTCAATGGATTAGACATGAAAAAAGAAGCATGCAGTTTCTAATAGTGGCATACAAATTGCATACAGTAGGTTTAAAAATGTGCATAAACAAAACTGCATCACAGAACATGCAGACTTCAGGTTCAAATAGCATACTGTTAGTGAGTGTTACATAAAGCTAGAGGTTAGTGAGGGCAACGGCAGCAGTCATTGCTGTGCTTTAAGCTAATTGAATTAATGGGAATCAATAGAGATGCATTGACTGATGTCCACACATCCATCAACTCCTGTCATCAGGAGCTCATGCTATATATCAAAAGTGAGTATTCAATGCAGGTCCACTTCTGAGCAGAAGAGATTAGGCTCATATCGATCAGTAGAATTACAGAAATCTATAACAACTACTGACTGAAGCATCGCCAAAGCAAACAGTCACCAGTAATGTGTTCAGGCTGTTGATAGGAAGTACAAAAGATCACTTCCTATATGTCCACCGAATGTACACTGAAGAAAAATAGTGCAGAAGTAACTATTTTCACTTAATTTGCTGGTAGATTTAACAAATAATTAAAGACAAATGGCAAATAAAACTGTATTAAACATGAAAATTGCAATAAACAATTCTGATATTGAATGTACACTGAAGAAAAATGGTGTAGAAAAATGTATTTTCACATCATTTGCTAGTAGATTTCACAATTAATTACAGCTAAATGGCAAAAATACTGTATTTATCAAAAAAACTGGAATATATAAGACTGAAATTTAATATATAACTGGCACTCTCAATATCTTTTTTTGGACATTGGACAAAATATGGAATCCAAAAAATTTACCATCTGAGAGTTTCCTTTAATTTACCTTTAAATCGATTGATTAAAATTAAAAAGACATTTGGGGAACTACTTAAGACCAAATAATGTTGCATAAGTTTATAAAAATAATAATGTCAAATTTGATTCCATAAGGTTATTATTATATTAAAAAATATGAAAGAAATGAGAAAAATTAGGCATTAATTTCCTACAGTTTTTATTTATTCAACTGATTAGACATAATAATTTGCTTTTAAATATGAACTTTGGGCAAAATAAAATAGAATTTGGTAATAAAATAAAACACATTTACCTTAAAGCATTATTTTTGGTATACCTATAGGTAATTGTGTTGCATACATTTCATAATTTCAATTGATCATAATTTTTTTTGATGACTAAAATGTTATTACTTTATTAAAAAAAACACAAAAAAACATGGATATTATAATATAAATATATTTACAGAATAAAGACTCTATTATTTAATAATAATATTTACAAATTACAGATTAAGTTTATGTATTTATTTATTTGTTAGTTTGTTTGTTTTAATGCCATATCAGTAGTACTGGCTATATTCCTTACAAAACCTATACTAAATATACAATATATTCAGGGTATCTTCCGTCCATTCCAAATTGTACTATTGTATTATTATATGTATTATTTAAACTGTAAAACCCAACAGACAACTTTATCAAATAAAACAAGTGTAGTTAACTCAAAATTGACTGAAAGTTAATTCTACTCATTTAAAAAGAGTTTTGAAGGTAACAAATTAATTAAATACCTCATTACTTCAAGTTAAATAGAGTAAGTTCACATTACTCATATAGTTTTTTTTACCCAAATGGTTTGTAGCAATCTGTATTCTTCAACAGTTTGAGTTGCCTTAACTTACTGGGTTTTACTCAGTTCTCTTCATTTAATGGGTTTTACTGTGGTCAAATTGCTTCATCTACTCAAATGGATTAAGTTCACAGTACTCATTAGGATTACTTTTTGAACTTAAATGCTTTGTTGTAATCAGTTTCCTCAAATGGTTTGATTTACCGTAATTTTTTGGGTTTTATAGTGTAATTGTTTCATGAATTTGAAGATTTATACATTTATTGATTAGACAAGCTTTTGGTTATTAAATGATAAATTAACCAATAAAATAACACGCCGAATACATTAATAAAAAGAAAATTAAAACAGCAGACTTAAAAATAAATAATAAAATAAAAAAAATGCTTTTCTAAACATAATCAATAAAAAGAAAGATTTACTATTACACTGTAAAAAATGCTGGTTTCCACACAATAGATTTGTGTCTGGACAACATGAAGGAATTAAGTTAATTATTATTTTTTTATTTTATTATTTTTTAATTAATTATTATTTTTTTTACAAATTCAAGTGGATTGAACATAAATCAGTTAAGTTGTCCCAAAAAAAAAACTCAAGAATTGTGTTGTTTGAGCTCATTTTTAATGCGTAATTTGAACAAGCATAATTTTCTGAGTGTATATTAATTTAGTCAGCACATGCATTTGTCACATGAAGCAAGTCCATACAAGTAAATGCCAACTGCTCTACGCTAGACAGGCAGAGAAAAACAAACTCAATTCATTCACACTGATAAAAGAGCAAACAGAGCTTTCCATATCCGAAATGAATAATATAAAAAAACATGTTGGGCTACAAATCGCTGATTAAACTACTTCCTTTTTCCACAAAGGCGCAAACATACCAGCCAAACAAAACTGTTACACACAGCGGCAGCAGGAATAACAGCAGGTGGCGAAAACTAATCATGTCAGGAAATAATAGGATTAATCCTACACCAATATGTGCACTCAATTCACATCACCATTGAACCATAAAACAAAACAAAAAAACTGCTTACTGTTGGTCACGAATGTGAAGAGGGTTTCAGACAATGAGCCACTGGAAGACAAGAAAAACAGACATCAGTGAGCGTTTTAGAAAAGATCATCATTATTACTGTGATTAATTAAAGCCCCTGTCATGGGAAAGTAACGCCTACTTGTTTTCACTGTGGAGGTCTAAAGAGAGTCGACTTTCACTACCAAGGCTTAATCTGCGGTTCCTCTAGGCTAACAGGCTGTCAATATCCTGGGCCAGTATATCGACAGTTGAAGTTAAAATTATTGACCTCTTATGTTAAATTGATTACTTAATATTATTTATTATTTAAAAAAATATTTCCAGAGTGTTGTTTAAATAGATTTTTTCTACATGTTTTTAAAAAATATTTTAAACATCTTTAAATAACTATATTTCTTAAAGTGGCTAATATTGTTGACACTTTACCAGAAGGAAAAAACACTTTACCAAAAAACACTTTACCAGAAGGAAAAAATATTACAGGAAATACAGTGAAATACTGTGCTTGCTATGCTAAACAGCACTTAAGAGATTTTCGAACAATAAAAATAATACAAAAATAAATAAATAAAAATCACAGGAACACTATTTATAACATAAATTAATATTTTAATTAAGACACATTTAAATTTCCTGTGCAAAACTATCAAAGTTGGTGCTGTATACGTAACGTGTAGCTGTAAATGTGTTTCTTGCATAATTTATGCTAAGTGTATAAAAAAGTATGTGTATAAAAAGTGTAACGGAGTGTATAAAATTGTATAAAAAAAAGAGTGTAACGGATCACAAATCTCACGGTTCGGATCACGTTATGGTTTTTTAGTCACAAATCAGACAATTTTTCGGATCAGCCAAAAAGGGGAGGAGACAAATGTAATTTGCTTTCCTATTATTACAAAAACAGTACAGCAAGACACTTTTGGTTTTAAAAAACAGAACTTAGAACCTGTAATTTTATTTTAAATAAAGTGAAGAAATAATCAGCTGAATAAAAATAAACTGTAAAATATTCAGTACTGAGAAAAGTTCACTGCTACTACTACTGCTGCTGATAACGCTAAATGTTGAAATCCAACATTATAATTTGTACAAACCATATTTATTTTTAGTTTCATTTTCAATAAATGATTCAGTTATTTACTCTTAAAACTTCATGTTTCATTGCTAGACGTGTCAATTTTGAAAAATTATTCAGTGGCATATTTTTATTGACTGGCTGTCGCCACCTATAGGTTAAATAATGTAATGGCTGCCTACAACTTTTATATTTGAGCATCAAGTTAAATGCATATGAAGGTGATTTTAATCTTCACCATAAACATCAGTGGTTTTATCTAAACTACAACCGTTGTCCCAGAACTGCTGTGTAATTATATTGTAAACTAAAGACTGAATTTCTTTCTTGATTTTTGTGCTTTTCAAACACAGATTTGAATGCAGCGATTTGAAGGATTAATAAACATATGCAAATCACCATCATTTATGATTTATGTCCCGTGTGTGTTGAGATCCAGATCTTTTAATGATTAATCATGCAACTTACACTGAATGCATTAATGCAGGCTAAACAAATAGTGACAGAACACACCTTTAATAACCGAAAAGACCCACCACATCCTGAATAACCCACTTCTTCCATCATCATTATATTTGACAGAAAAGCCTAAATGCTTTCATACATGTGATTTGAATGACGCGAGAGGTGACCTCTCTGTGACCGTTACAAATTTAGGATTAATCTACAAGTTTTAAAAAATGTATTACCCCTTGGGTCACCTGTGTTCTGAACCTGATCTGAATGATCCGTATGATTCACAGATCAACAGTGATCTGTTACACTCCTAACATATTTCCTAAGTGCTGTTTAATAGAGGGTTTTTTTTAACATATTTTTAAATATTGTAAAGATGTTTAAATAACTAATATCTCACAAATTTTTTTTTTCATTCCAGCCAAAGTAAAATAAGACTTTATCAGGAGGATTTTTTTTAATATATTATTATATATGTAATACAGTGAAATACCATCTTTGCTCTGTTAAACTGCACTTGGGAAATATTCGAAAAAGAGTATTAATAAATACATAAATAAAATTAATTATAATGATAATTAAATAAAACACACTTTTCAATTGACATACAATTAACTTTCCGGTGGGTTTACTCACTTTAACTAAAGCAAATCGCTTTTTGGCATATAAGGAATATCAATTTGTTGATATTCCACATATGTTTTTTCTCACAAACATTACAAAATCTCATATATGAAGCTGGTGATGTTGCACTGGTGGATTAGCCATTCATTTCCCAAAAACCAATTGATTAGTCAAATTAAATCCATCACCTCCGCTCTAAGTAGATTTTACTAATGATGTAACATCCTTAGAGTCTGCTTAAACCTTACCAGGAACGACAGTCAATATCAGTTGAGTTCCTGTAATTACATTTACTCAGGGTTTTGATCTCAGGCTTTCTGCACGTTTTATTGCGTGCACAAGTTATTCCAGTCTGCTGACTCTAATCAGCACTGGATTCATTTTACTGTTAATTTTTATTCGATTGTATGTCTGTCACCAACAGTTTATTGCTCATATTCCCAGGCTGCAGATGTATATTTATTTATTTATTTCTTGGTTTGTTGGCACACTATCCCCTTTATCCCATTTCGGTTGATTCATGCCGTCGTAAAACCACTTTGTACCCTGAACTCTGAAATCGTTTCTGCTCGGCTGCCATAAAAGTAATGAAAAAGTAATCAGATCCAGGAAGCCTGTGAAAATGACAGGTTTTTTAAGTAATGGCTGACAGAGATGCGATTTCCCAGCCTGTTTCCCCTCTAATTACTGCCACACTGCTCTTTTGAGCGGCCCAGCTGTACCCCAGATCTGCTGTCACAGGGAGAGATGCGGGACACGCTGAGGGAGGTCCTCTGAATTTAGCAGCACAACAGGACTGACAATGGGAATCTCCCTTTTGGCTTCTGGAGGTGTTACTTTCACATGACAGGGCTTTAATTAATCACTAGACACTTTTCCGCTGTCATGGAGCAAGCCAGGGCTTACAAGGGGCTGAACTGGGCTGTTTTAGGGATTGAAATAATTTATTAGATATCATCACTTGGAAAAGGACACTGTATACTTATACTGTATATACACTCTCAGAAAAAAAGGTACAATGAGGGTACAATTTTGTTCTTAGAGGGAACAAAATATAAAATTGTACCTTTAAAGGTCCCATATTGGTCCTTAGGGTACAATTTTGTACCCAAATGGGCTATAAAGGTACAAATGTCCAGATTTAGGTTTGAAAGGTACATTTTTGTACCTTTTATAGCACATTTGGATACAAAATTGTACCGTAAAGGACCAATTTGGCACCTTTAAAGGTACAATTATATATTTTGTTTCCCTATAGGAACAAAATTGTACCCTCAGCTCATGATAAGATCAAGACACTATATAACACTAATTCAAATGTATTAATACTAAACATTAATACTAAAATACATAATTTAAAAATATAATAAATAAATAAATTTATTGAATTAAATATTTTAATAATTTTTTTTTCATGTATTTAAATTACATTTTTTCTCAAAAATGTTAATAATTTAATTTATAATTGAATGTAATTTTAATCATTAAAAACGTAAATACTGGTCTTTGCCTACTGTTTAAGAACCTATAGTATATGGGATGTGGAATAAGAACCATGCAGAGTGACAGCATCTTCATACAGGTGGTGATGTTGCTGTCTCTTTAAGAATTTGGCTTGTTGAGACGTTATAGTAGTGTTTGTTACTGAGGCGGTCGGTCGAGTATGCTGGCTGTTTACACAGAACTTCGCACGCTTTTCAAAGAAAAGTCTATTTTGGAGTCCACACTTTTCAGGTAAGAATGTATTGAAGATATATTTTCAGTCTCATTTTTACATGTGAAGCCGTGTTCTGTTGATTTTGTCTGACTCTCGGGTCTCGGCTTTCCCCGCTTTAAGTGCTCCTGACTGCCTGGTGTACGATGGCCTGCAGAATGGAGTTTGCTAAGATGTCTGCAGCTTATTGAAGAAGTTAATACAATGTGATATCGAAGTCACCGAGGGACATAACGTTATAGACGGTGAGTACTATATGCTGTTAGTTTTCTCGGTGTAAAAGTTCCCTTTATCGCCTACGTTATGTATTCGCGCCTTATATCTTACGTTACGTTACTGCTTTATTAATAAGTGTTGCCACGGCGGAATATAATCGCAACCCAGATAGCAAAATACACTCGGGCCAGTTGCGGCTTGATTTTCGCCTGCCCGAGTCCGTCTGCTGTAACGTTACTCGGGCCAGATGCGGCGGCAGAAGCGAGCGGACGCTGCCGTATCCGTGCACCGGAATCGGGCCGTGAGTAATGTGCGGTGTGGCCCGGAGCTGGCGCGACTGAAGTCTTCATATACTTTGATATAAAACCTTATGTTATTAATACTGGAAATTTGTAATTATCGATAATGTTTTATATTTTGAGGCCATTTTCTAGCCACGGTTGACCGCTGAAATGTAATTTTAGACGGTTATATAAGTTACACCGCCATTTTGTGAAGAAAAATCACAATTTTGTCACCGGCAAAGCGACTGATTATGTAAACGTGGCTAGTTACAAACGTGGCGTGTGTATGCTTGTACATATCTTCGTTTCAGTGTCTAAGTTACATTAATGTTGAGGAGTGTCCACAAACTCTCATGTCCAGAATTGTTGGTGCTTTACTATTGTTTAACGTTATACTTATGTTAATGTAGAATTATTAACATACCATGTTGTATAAATCAACGTTTTAAGTTATACTTTGTTCTTTAATGTAATAATTTGTCTCATCTGTTCTGAAACTGGTACCTTGAGCTATTTTACCTATTTTATTAATATCTCAAAATAAATAAATAGTTATTGCTTTATCTTATTGCTTTCCAGAAATTTTTTAAGTTTCCAATTGTCTTTCAGGACAAGATTGAACAACAGAATGCAGCCTAACAGCATCAGACCAACGAAGGCATGTCATATG